TATATAATATATATTTTAAAATTTAAATTAATTTTGAATAGCAGAATTTATATTTTCTTTAATACATATTATTAAAACTCGCTTGTCATCATAACTCCAACCACAATTTTCTATTAAAACGCCTTTAAAATTCGAGAGACGTATCGAGCCGTCACTGCGTGGCCAGTGGAAAGAGAAGGTGCGCGTTCGGCCTACTTCTCTCTCGCCGCCGAAGCCGCTTATCGAGCGCGGCTGCCGCCACGTGCCTGGTCTGATCGCGCTCGTGCATGTTCCCCTGCGAACGCAAGACTCGAGTGTGACCCGGCCTGGGGACATGGGCACGTCCTCGGCGAAGGTCAACGGACTCCTCCGCGTTCTACGTTACGTCTCGTAGGCGCGGGCGCCCAGTCGACCACAGTCGACCTGCGTCCGCGGATACGTCATCGTGTACCGCGGATAGACGCGCACGTGGACGGGAGCTGTGCGACCAACGTGCGACACGTGCTCTCCTGCTATGTTGCGCGGCGTCTCGACATCTTGCGGTCCGCGCGGATTCCTTGCCACGCGATGACGCGCAGCAACGACCGCGTCGGAATGACGGATTGCCGTGCGAGATACTGTGCGAGGGCCTACCTGTAGATCAAATTCCGATTAATTTAATCAATGATTAACTTATCGATACCTGCAGTATTTTTTCATTGTTAATACAGATGAAATTATTAATTTCTTTGTTGTTTGTTATGTGGAAGAGAAGAGATCAAGAACGATATGAATTTGACAATTCTATCTCATTGTCAGTTGAATTTATCGCTGATCGAGCTTAATTGGAATTTGGTCGGATTTAAGAGAGTGATCTTTTCTTCACAATAAATTTGAGTAATTTGCTATATTCCTTTTTAACTGCATTTTTAAAATATTTCTGCGCTTAAAATCAATTCAACCCTACATCCAGATTTTGTCTGAAAGAAAAGGGAATGGAATGAAAAATTCCAGAAAATTAAAAAAAATGTACACATTATAAAATTTCATTCTTTTATTATGTATTAATATTAAAAAATATTATATATATTAATTATAATATGATTGTGTAATATGATTGTGTATTTTGTTTGAGCATTTAAGCAAGAAAAAATATAGGAATATAAAACAAGGTGCTAATGTAATATAAAATAGATATTATTTCAAAAATTACTGTAGCAATCTACCGATAATTATAGTAATCAGAATCATTAAGTTTCGTTTCGGTTACTCGAAAGTGCTAGCGTCAACATCACGTTGTTTACAGCTGTAAGAACAACTGTTGTATTTTTTAATTAAAATTTTTTGCAAAGTAAAATTAAAAAATTCTTCCTTATTTTTATTGATAAATTTAACATTAAAATTAAACTTTGAAAATGGCAGAATATTAGTTATTTAAAATTATTTTTTCTACGTTGAGCTTCTCATTGAATCATTTGGAAAATAACGTCTATAATTAATTTAATTTTATCGGCTAGATAATATCCACTGGACTCAATAAAGTATCTTCTATGTCATTTCTTAGAGCTATAATATTTTCGAGACATAGTTTGAAGTTTGGTCTATCGTTCGCTGGATTCCAGCAACGCAACATCAACTCGTACAAAGGCGGTGGACAATTAAGAGGCATCGGCAATCTGCCTCCAGCGCGTACATAATCTATTACTTCCAGATTAGTCCTGCCAGTGTAGGGATGCTCGCCCAACGATGTAATTTCCCACATTAGAACCCCGAATGACCAAACGTCGCTTTTGGAAGTAAATATTCCGATCACCAAAGATTCCGGTGCCATCCAGCAAATAGGAAGCAAACCTTGTCCTATCTAAAACATGTGATTTTAGAAAGTTAATCTTCTAGTTCAAATTATCAATTTTTAGAATATTTGTGCTAAAACGAAAAACGTTCATTTATCTCTTGCTTGATGTAAATAGAAATAGTTCATTTTTCTTAAATTCTATTTAAGGTAAAAATGTACTATATTATTATGATAAAAAACGAACACACAAACATTTCTAAAAAATTTAATTTTTTTTTAAATAATTGTATTTACCTTGCGATAATAGTCATTCTTTAAATCTCTAGCTAGTCCAAAATCGCCGATTTTGATGATCCGGTTCTCGCGATCTCTCGCGGATATTAAGCAATTTCGACACGCGAGATCTCTATGAACGAAGCGCAGATCTTCCAGGTAGCAACAGCCTCGCGCAATATCTTCGCACATGGAAAACAAATCTTGCAAACGCAGAGCGTGCGAATCTGACGGTTGCAATTTTCGATTATCTTTCAAATATTGTAGCAGATCACCATTTTCCATTAATTCCAACACGATTAATGGAGAATCTTCATCTAAGCAGACGCCCAGCAATCTTAGCACATGTTTATGTCGGAAATGATTCATAAGTCTAGCCTCTTCTAAAAACTTCTTTTTCTCTTGCGAGGAAGCATCTTTTTGAAGCATTTTTATGGCAGCGGGTATCTCCATGCCCGGTCTTTCTAAATTCTTTATTTTTGCTTGATACACCTGCGAAATATTTGAAATTAATTTAAATTTATATTTTATTAAAAAATATATACACGTAGTTTAATGTCAAGTGACATCATTTTATTTCGCATTAAATAATTTAACGAAAAATACATAATAAAGTGCATGTATATGTTATTTTACAAAAATTTTGCATTACTTATAATCTCTTATAAAAAGTTATTCATGTAATTATTTTTATTGAGAAATGCGTATCTGTTTCAATTTCTGTTGATCTAAAAATGAATAGTGTATAGTATAAGATTGCATTGAAAAAAATTAGTTTTTACCAGTCCGAATACGCCCCTGCTTAAAAGTTTTTCTAATCTAATTTCTTCACGTTTGATTTCGGTCAGTACATATTTATCCAAATTATATTCCAACATAGGACTGTATAACGTATTGAGTTGAACGTTACTGTTAGGTATCTCATGTAAAGTCTCTAATTCGATGTCGGTCATTATTGGAGGCAAAACTTTCTCGTTACTTTTTTTGCGTTGTCGATACACTGTTATAAAATTGCAATACATTTATCTAATAATATGTTGTAAAATTTACTTCGCCTTTTCAACAAGTAAATTAATTTTTCTTAGAAAATCTCTATATATTATGTTAGATATAATCTCTTTCTGCAATTAAAGACTTAAATGTATTAAATATACTTACAACAGTAAAAGTAGTAGACGCAGATCGCAGTAATTATAGCGACAAAGCCTAAGGTGAATGGTAAGTAATATTGCATAACTAATATTCCAGGAGTGCTTGAAATATTACCTTTGTTACGCAAAAATATACTCTTAATATCTTCATTTTATTGAAAAACTTACTTAATCTTATTTATAACTTTATTATTAAAAATTACCAAGTTTGAAAATTTTGTAAGCATTTTTATATCTAAAATAAGCATATAATGTTATAATATCTTCATTTGCTTACTTGTTAGTGTTGAAACCGGCTCCGAAAAATTTTCGATGATGCTGTTTGTCGTGTAAGATATCGGATATTCTATTGCATGATACGGTTGCAAAGATGTATCGAGAACATACAAATTTGTAATCTCACCACGCTCAAAAATTTCTATCTTTTGGATGTATTTGAATGCGTCATCTACGCTCGTGAGAACATACTTTTTTTTCAAAACGTAGATATAATTATTCGAAAACTGAAGAAATGTTTGTCTCGTCAAATGTTAAATATTTGAAGGATCCATAGTTTCCTTGTAAAATCACATTGCACATAGAAAGATTAATGTCTGTCACAATCAAACGATTACTCGATAGCCAATAAATTAGCGGCTTCTTAGTATTCACGTCAATTTTTATGGAAACAAATTTATATGTATTGACTAATGAGGGGCACATAGTACATTCTAGTTTTTCCTGTAAGGATCGAGCGTTTTTTCCATCAAGATCCGATTGCATTACATAATATTTAAGAGACGTGTGACCTATTCAATATAAAGTTCTAAAAAATATATGCATTATTTTACTTATTATAGAACAATATTATAACAATAGCAGAAAAAAGCTTTTATATATAGTGAATATTTAAAATTCTTATAATTAAATTTATGTTAATTTATTATTTTTTATAACTTTTGATCTTAATTACAACATGCCATATGAAATTATTGAAAAATTACAAATCAGTACAAATCTTTAATGAAAATATATTTTATTTATTTCAAATGGATGAAAGTTAACATACCCTATAAACGGTACTATAGTTAAATCGTCAATATTAAAAACGCTCTTTTTTATTTTCGGAATCTTATCAAATTTGATTAAACCATTTTCCCACATTGTTAAGTCGAGCTTTATTATCTCATTATTAAGACGCGTGGATTCTGTCCAGTATAGATTGTTTGTTATCCAGTCGATGCAGAGATTATGTGCTTTATTTCGAGTCTTAACTATTAATTTAGAATTATAAGTATTAGTAATCACATTATCGAGCATCTTTAGCTCCCTCTTTGTGTTGCTCCAATAAATTATATTTTCCGACATAGAACAAGCGACACTTATCACTTTTTTATCATACACAGATGGATTAGAGGGGTAATTTCCAAACGGATGCCATATTTTAATACCATTATCCAATACGATCACTAATTTTGACATTGGAATTTTATGCGGATTCGATACTTCAATTAAATCTGTGAAAGGATCAATAACAACTTTAGTAAGCGCTTATATTTGAAAGTAGTAGTTGGCATAATTATATACAAGAACATTAAGTTGATTATCTTAGTAATTTAGAAATAAACAATTTAAAGAAAAAATAAAAATAAGAAAAAAAATAGAGGTACATTTCAAAATATGAAAATTAGCACAGCAAGTGTTGATCTTTAAAATAATAAAATAATATAAAAAAGTTTCTAAAACTCAAAAAAGTAATCGTCAATCCAGAGCAAAAACAAACAATAAAGCATTAAGCGTTTTTCAGAAATTTGTTATTGATTAGGAAATCAGAAGTATAATATTTGCAATTGCCCTAAAAAAAATAAACTAGCAAAATTAAATAATATAATTAACTGCTTTACATTAAATCTTGATTAATTTTATATGCAATATGTGGATTTTTCTTTCTCTTTTTGCGGCAAAATAAAATTTATATTATTCTCGCTGTTGAAAGATATTTTGTTTAGATTTTATTTTTATTTTTTCTTAAATGTAAATTATGTTTACAATTTTTTTTGTCGTAGATTTTTTTTTGCTAAGGATTTATGTATTTTTTTGCAACTTACCTTTATTAGATATTGGAACAGACATATTTGCATTATCATCTTTGTTTCTCACACTCACATTATCAGGATGACTGTGGTCAGATTCGAGATTCTATAAAATGTAATAACCGTTGTTCTTGGATACTGGAATATCCTTGATAAAGTATAATATACGAAAAGAATTAAGTAAGCATCGCTGGCCAAAAACGCGGCTACTTCTGATACTTTTATTGATAAAAATATATGTACAAATAAATAAAATCTGAAATGTCTCTGCCATAAAATTTCTTGTTTGTTTAATCATATCAACTTGATATTTTTCTTTATACCTCTCCTGATTGATAATGTGTTAAATACAGTATAGTTACATTTTTTTTAAATCTTTTTTTATTGTTTTTCAAGACATCTTCTTGCATATCAAACATGATTCTTATAAAAAATACTCGTTGAGACCTTTAATTAGAAGTATCACAAAGGATGGTGCCACTTGAGATTTTAAAATTGGGGAAAAGGGCGCATAGGGAGTGACTCACGCCTTGACAGTTATACTGCGATTCGATATTCCCCTTGCTATTCTATATATTCCCTAAACCATATTTTGATATCTTTATTAGTTCTCAAGATATCCCGGTTAATAGTTTTCAAGTTGACATCTTATATGTACAAGGAAAAATATATATAGAAATTGCAAGATGTAGCAAAAGATTGGCTGGTTGCGTATATTATTGATTTGTGTGATTATTGGCCTTATTGTTAGGGTTAATTGACAACTCGAAATTCCATTATACCGATACTCGACTTTCTGTTTCGATATTTAGTAGCTCTGTTCTCTTATATATATATAAGGACTTTTCTGTTCAATTTACTGTGCTCTACTTGCTCACGAGCGTTGTCAAGGGTGCTTTGGGACACCCTGTATAT